AGACTGTCATGTGATGTTGATTTGGCCTTGGCAGCGATGCCAGTAGCATTTGAACTTGGCATCTTGGTTGGCAGCGATGCCAGACGGATGCCAGGTGCGTTATATGACTACTAAATTAATGCATTAAGTTTGGCCGAGATGCTGGCAGCTGCGCCATGGCCTCCCGTTGGCATCCTAGTGCGATACCGCCCTTAAAGTTGACTGTACATACAGTTATTGTTCGGCTTTAAAGGGTTAATCACGTGGTGCGTGAGATAAAAGTGGGCCTGTTGACTGGAAATTCTCCCACCCCGTCATTCATGTGCATACAAACACAGGTAGGCCCCGATTTACGCCGGGGTTACGTTCCACCTCCTCGGGGTCGTTAGCTGAAGCGGCGTAAATGTACCAGAAGGACGAGCGGGCACTGCCTGGGGACCTTCGTAGTCCGAAATCAAAATTTGTACTCCACCATTTAAAATAATAGTTCCTATCGCTACTCCCCCCCCCCCTCAACAAATGTAAAATCCTGGTGCACGTGTCAGAATTGTCACAGTGAGTATTTGTCTGTTTGCGTGTTTAACGTTATTTAGCTTCAGTTGTTGAGACTTTGTAGCACGGATTTGTTTCGCCTTTATGAGTCACTAAATAGCAACATACGACCCAAGATAGTTGCTGCCTCGAAGGATAACTCGTACGTTGCATTGTTCTTAGCCAGTTGATGCTAATATCCGAAACCAGTCAGCAATCCGTGAAGTGTTGCGCGGGGTAAAGGAACTGTGGACTAACACTGTTTTTTTTCTAGAATAGCTGAGGATTACCTCCATTACACAAAAGTGTGTTTTCGGCCTTAACCCCGGGGAAAGAACCCCCTAATTGGGCTCGAAAGTTAGCCTGGACGTGACGGCAGGTAGCTGCTATCAAGTCCTGTGGTCCTTACATAATTCTTAGTGGTTTTTAGTGTTCTGCTCGTATCGATTTCGTTGCTTCGAGCCAAGGTTTGGTGCTGGATCTATAGTGCGCCAATTATGCTTATTAGTACTTTTCTTGTAGTGGTAATGTTACGAAATTTTGGATGAAAAAGGTCCAGAAAGCAATTCACGAAGGAAATAAAGCAGGAGTAGGATCGTAAATTTTAAAATATAAACGTAAAGGTGATATTCACATAAATTGCTTAAAGTTGTCTAATAGTTACTGCACTATTTCCCGTTAACATCTTGTTTTATTCAGGCACGTTCCCGTTTCATAGAGCTTAGTTACGAGAAAAGTGTGGGATGCTTAGTTGGCATTGCTGAGCTTGGTGGAGAAGATTCTGTATCCATCTATTCTGACCGAAATGCAAAAGCATTTTATTCTAATTTATTTAGAGTTTCACGTATAATTTGAAAATAACTCATTTCCGAAAATTCTATATTACCCAAAATACGTTAAAGTATTTTATTGAGCTGCAGACGTAATTATTCTATGGTTCTCCGTCATAATACTTCGTTAGGACAAGTAACTTTACAGTGGAACACAAATATGAAGCCTTATAATGAGAATTCTGTGATGAAACTGTAAATATTTTTAGTATTTTCAGGTATTACCCTCGAAATGTCAACGGAAGATTAAAGAACGCGTGCCCTCTGTGATATTAAGCATTATCTGGGTGTATTATTCAAATAACTGAGTAGCTTAGCCATGTAGTTATGCATTAAATTCTGTCTGACAATAGTTGATATGGCGCTTGAGAGATTTTGTTGCTAGCCACGTTTGTTGGTCTCTGGTCGATCGTCTGTAATACGAAGTTATACGAAGTAGAATTAGTGTAGTACGAAATATAAATACAAAACTAAATATACAGTAAGATTATATATATATATATATATAAACAAATCAGGGCACAAATAAACATTCACTGTGATCTAACAATTGTATTCATACTAGTCGTTATCAATGGAAAATGACCTACTGCATATATTACGAATGTAAAACATAAAAGTTAGTATACTTCGTTCTGACAGAAATGACAAGCCAATAATTTAAATACGGTCCTACTAGCCTGTGATGGCATCTGGTCAACAT